AATTATGGAAGTAGTTTCCTTTTGTCAAAGGAAGGTCTCTGTCTGCAACTGGATTCCATTTACTTCAGCTTTCTCAGAGACCTCACTACTTCAGTTACTTCTCTTTCTCCTTTCTTATCACTCCCTGTCAACTGGAAGCTTTCCATTGATATTTCAGCTCTCTCCTATTACATTAGTAAAGCCCTCTCTTGGATCCTTTCCCTTTCCTGTTATGCCCCTCCACTTTTATTTCCTATTCGCTTCTCAGTCCACTCCACTATGCAGCTCTTGCTAATGTCAAAATTGAACTTCATGTTTAATTTCAAGGATAGTTTTCAGTCCAACTTATTTAATATGTCATCATCTCCTGCAGTTTGCCGTTCCATCATCTTTTTGTGTGTGTGATACAAATGAACTTCATTTAACATTTTATTAAGTGGACAGTCTCTGTTTGGAGAACTGCTCATTCCCTTCATCTTGAAACAAGCTTTTCTTGTTTCCTTTGACACATTCTCCAGATTTTATTTGTCTCCATAGCTTCTCCTGTTAAATGGATATTTTCACATTAAAATATGATTATTTTCTGTAGGTTTTCTAATTATCTTTTAATAATCTTTTAATTATTTTCTCCTTATCTCTACCAAATGAGACTTGATAGAAAAATTAAACTTAACCTTGTCAGGTAAATAAGTTAGTCACGTACTGTTGTTCTTTCTAGGAATATAAGAATAGAAGCTATCAGGATGTCTAGTGAGTATGAGGGTTCAGCCTCTTCAGCAGTGTCCCTCGGAGTAGACTGTTCTTTGTAGTGTTCTTTCTTATTGCTAGAATCTTATATTCCCACCCTCTGGTTAACTCTGACACATTCATCTATTTTGGAAATAATTTCCTGAGAAACCTTCCCTTTCTTCTAGCCCTCCCCAACCTACCCATAGTTTTCATATCCTTCCTGAGGATTCTGTACCATCTCCTATCACACTTAGAATTAACATGCTGATTCTAAGACACCATCAATTATAAGATCCATGGTCATTTTTTTCAAAGGGGAATTTATTTATATTTTGAAGGTCCTGTCATTTAATTGCTGAACTACAGTGTAATCTTTTTAAAGACATTTAAGTCCAATTTGTAGTTGCAAATCACTCAAGTGAAATTTAAAAAATAGACATACCTTTTATCTGTGCTTACTTTTGTATAACAGCATGACATTTACTTTTTTGCTTGATAGCTGTCACATCTCTAACAATTCTTACAAGATTTTTACAAGTCTGTTATCGACAATATTCTGAAATGTTCATGTGAAAGAGACTTAACTTTTTGGAAAAGTGACACTTCCTCTTGTGTTAAATATTTTGCTGTCTTAGACTTTCTCACTTTTGTTATGTCACATTCATAATCATGTTTATGGCATTGTCTTATGAGTTATTTAATGGAAGAGATGTTTTCACAATTTGTTTTTCAGTGTCTAATAATGCTCTGTAAATGAATTTTAAACAAAAAAATGCCTTTGAGCTTGGTAAATTAAGGATGTAATCTGAAAGAAAGAATGAAGATAAGAATAATTATAGTTCAAACAACCAGGAAAAATATAAGTACCAGGTGAAAAATGATAATTATGTACAAATCTGGTTTAAAAAAATGTATAAGTCATGGAGGAATAACAGGGAATTAAATTGACTTTGGCTAGAGATTAGTTCTCATATAACTTTTTTTTTTTCCTGTTCTCATTTCAGTTGACTTTTAATGGCACTCAGTTATACATATCTTTAAGGCTTTTTATATCTATAGGATAGCATACTTTGTAAAAAAAAAAACAACAAAAAAAACAAGTTGCTAGCCTCCTATATTTGTTTAGCAGATTGTAAAAAACTTTCTACATTCAGATAATTTTTAATATTTTGATACCTGAGAATGATGTTATAAGTTCTCTTTTAAAAGCATTACATTCAATAGAAGAAAGATAACCAGTCGTGAAATTTAGAATCTTCAGGCAAACTACAAGCTATCATGATTGATTTTAATTTATGTGTAAACATATAATAGTGGTATCACAAAAAAAAAATCAAGTAAATTATTAAATAGTATTATTGCCTTTTATTATTTGAGTCTGCCTGAAACCTTATGGTTACTACAGTAACTTTTTAATTTTTAATTATTTTAGGAATATTTTGAAAAGAAAAGTTTAAAATCAAAAATGAAATTACTGGAAGTTCTATCCCCTGTCAAAAATTCCACTGTCAGTTTAGACCTCCTTAATCTATATGTAGTAAATCAGATCTCTTGCCAGAAGAAAACACCTGGTAAGTCTTTCCAATAGTATTTTGTTTTGACTGATGTGATCATAGCATTTAGTTTACTAAGAAGTTTGTAATTTTAGAACTCACAGGATATGAAAAGTAAACTAATTTTAGAACTTGGTTGTCCTCTTAAATTAGAAGCTTTGTTAATTTTTGCTTAAAATCTTTTGTTGCTAAATCCATTTATTTTTATTTTTATGTTTGCAATGTAAAATTAATTTTATAAGGTATGGTTATTTCAGTTATTATTCTATCAAAGCATATATTTACTAAAGTTTAGCTAAAGGGCAAGAAATACATTTCTTTTTAGGCTATTTAGAGAATTTTTTTGAATTTGACTCCTTTGGGTCTTGACTTCCTTAAGAAGTTTTTCACCTAAAACTTTATATTGAATAAATTTCTCTTGTTAATCTGTCTTTTGTTATAGGGACGCCAGCTGAGACTTTAGAAGGGTAGAGGAAAAAGATATTTTCTTCCCCTACAAAAACAGAACTCTTAGGATTCATGGCTGCAAATGACAGAATTTTAAAAATATATGTTTACTTAATGTTATGGACTGAATGTTTGTGTCTTTTCAAAATTAATATGTTGGAATCCTAACCCCTAAAGTTTTGGTGTTAGGAAGTGGGTTCTTTAGGAGGTGATTAAGTTATGAGGGTTGAACCATTACAAATGGAATTAGTGGCCTTTTAATAGAGATCCCAGAGAGCTCTCTCATACCTTCCACCATGTGAGGACACAAAGAGAAGGTGGCTGACTGAACAAGAAAGCAGGCCCTCATCAAACACTGAATCTGCCAGTGCCTATATCTCAGACTGCACAGTCTCCAGACTGATAAATTTCCATTGTTTATAACCCACCCAGTCTATGGTATTCTATTATAGCAGCCCGAATGGACTAAGACACTTAACTTAAAAGAAGAGCAACCGTGCAGCTGGGCCTCAGAGACTGCTTGAATTAGGGACTTGAATACTATGAACATTCTTTCTCACTTCAGATATTAGCTTTATTCTCTCAAACTGTCATCATCACTGAGGCTTAACTTAAAGTATGACCTTAAAGAATTAATATTGTTCATCTCTTCTAGTTTTGACACCAGGGAAATAATGAGAATTGTTTCTCTGGTTCTCAATTTTTGAATTTTATTGGAAGGATGTTGCCTTGCCTTATTGGTGCCAGGTACCAGCACTGGAGCAATTACTTATTACCAGAGGGATGCAATACTAGTAGTGATTCATCTTGGGTCAGATGTCTACCCCTAAACTAATTATTTTTCTGGAGAGAGAGGGTTTATAAGAAGATAGAAAGTCTCTAGAACTGTATTGTGTGTGTGTGTGTGTGTGTGTGTGAAGCATTTCTCAGAAAAGGAGAGTAGTTAAAAGTACTGAACAAACAAAATATTGATATCTTCTATAAGGATAGACAGGTTTATGCTTCTATAAGATTAAAAAATTAGGAAGATAAAATTAATCAAGTTCAATAAACTATTGTAAGTGTTGTAATAGAGAATGTGTAGTTCTATGGCCAGGTATAACAGCATCTGATGTAGTCTAGGGGTCAGAGAATTCTTGGAGGAAGAAAAGAGAACTGAATTAGTGGAGCCTCTTTTATGAAGAGTATGTAAGATGATGAAGAAAACAATGCTTTGAATCATCTGTGATAGCTATTAGTACTCTAATGACTTTTAGCATATATAGAATATGAGCGGTTTTAGTAAAATTTAAAAATATATGTTTAATGAACATGGTATATCAAACAATGCTTTTAAAATATTTTATTATTTTTATAATTTTTTTATTATAGAAACTGTGAGAAAACCAATTCATGTAAATATGAAGAGAGACATAAAAATGCCTCTAAGAAAGCATAATTTAGAACTTCCAATGTCGCCTCCCTGTGTACCGTCTAACCTCTGCATTGATGATATAGAAAACAAGTAGGTTTTAGCTATGTTGTAGAGTGTTAGATATTTAAATAGATCATCATTGAGACTGTTTTATTTATCGGAAAATGTAAACAGAGCTTATCCTTCTACCTCCAGTTTTTGTTTTGCTGTTAATACTATTATTAAACTATTAAGACCTTTATCAAATGACCTAACATCCATACTAAGTGTGTAGTATGCATAGTTTGATTTTCCTTGTCATAAAAATATCTCTCTAGTAATAATATAATTTTTATAAAAGTCAGTAATAGTATGACCCTGGAACGATTTACTTAGAGTTCCATGTGTTTTTGTGTATTTGTATAGAATAGTGTGAATTTTAAATATATGTGTGTCAATTTTATTGCCATCTCTGTTTTTAATCTTAAAATTTTATTTTCATTAGTATACAGTATGAAAGACTAGGCAACAAGGAAGAACTTGGCCCGGTGCAGGTGAGATTTAAAAAAAAATTTTTGTAAGTTATTTTAGCAATTGTGGCATGCTACTAAATAATGTAATTCTTTTCAATGTCAGGAAAAATTAGTAACTCTTTAAAATTTTTTAACAGTCTTTAAAATTATTATTTTAATAATTTTAGTTTTTAATATAAACTTTTAATATAAGGAAACTGTACCTTAAAAATATTTTAGCTGATTGCTTATGAGAAACCATTTGGAGTTCTGGTAATGTAACCTAGGTCTATATGTGCACAGCATTTGATTCTGCTTGTTACTGAAGAGCTGCAAAGGATAATTTATTTGGGGATTCCTACTTTGGGTTCATGTGGTCATTGAACGATTTGTCTCTTTAGGCATAGTGATCAGATTATTTTATATCAAATTGTGATTTTCAGTATTCACATTGATCACAAGATGATTTTTCTTTCAGAGTATTGCAAATGATTATTTTTTAAGCAAATAATATTTTAATCAATTAGAAAATGCATAGATTGTGATTAAAGCTTGAAATTTTAAGGTTCAATACCATATTATTCTTTCTGTCCTTTGAATTGCCAAAGTTATACTACATCAGAAAGATACCAGCAGTGATACTAAAATCTCTTGGAAATCTTTTCACCTGAATTGTGGGTAAATGAACTCAGATTTCGTCATTAGGAAATGACATGCAAGAATGGAACTTTAGGGTGGAGGGGACCAGGAGTGAGAAGGACAGATAGAAAGGAGCTCTTAAGTACACACTTAGTTGATAACTTTTTTGTCTTAAGTCCTGTCAATTACTGATGACTTGCCTTTCCTTGGGACTGTTTCTGCATCCCGTGACATTTTCACTTCTATTTTGACTTTTGTCTTCTCTAGTTTATATATTTTGGCAATTCACATGATTATTTCTTCTTTCCTATAGTCATCACAAGTCATGGACTCATATAGAATGTTTGAACCTCAGTTCAACAGAATAGAAAACTGCAGTTTCACTTCACCATCTTTTTCAGCAGAATTATCTTCCAACAGACATATTACAAAACAAAATTTCATTCCCAGAATAGCACCCAGTCCTCAGAAAGTTGCATATGAAAAACTGAAGGAGCAGGTATCTTTGAATCATTAATTCTTAGTATTTTATATCATATTTTAATATTTTTTATGAGTTAAAACATTTAAGTCGTGAATTGCTATAGCTGTAGCCAAATTAGGAGGTAAATATAATAATTCGTCTTAAGTCAAAATCTTAATTCTCTGCACAGTAGAAAATTATGAATCCCCAAACTGGAATATTCTTGAAGAATCATTGAAATCATCATTCTTTTAAAAAAATTATCAATAGTGAAATTTAGAATAGTTCAGTGTATTATATATTAGTCGATGATGGTAATCACTGTAAATGACTAGTTGGTGATGTCATGGCGGCCTAGTGGGCATGACATGTAAAGGGTCCTGTGAATAGCAATATATAATTTCAGTGATGTCATAGTAGTCTGTTAAAGTATGAGTTAGGATGGCTTGGTTCTTGGTTCTTTTTATGACTTGACAAATGAAGACTGGTATATGCACTTCAATTAAAACTATACAAATAATTTAATAGCTGGAGATGTGTAGTGCTAAAATGTTTTTTGATCATTGTGTTCTCTAAAACATCTAAATTTTTAAATTCTGAAATATGTCTGAAATAGAAAATACCAATAAATGATCTTTTATTAAATTTAATAGTTAAAAAATAAAATTATTAAAGGTTACTATACCAAAGTATAATGGTAGTGAAGAAAATGGTTATATAAACATTATGTCTTGTTAACAGAAATATGCAGTTTTGAATTTCTTCCATTTTTAGCATGTAGTGTTTTTTGCCATATTTATGTATAATTCATAAATTTATAATTTATAAATTCATAAACTTATAATTAAATAGTTATAT